ACTTATAGGATCATGGGAATTGATAACTATAGGGTTAGAAGTAAGGTATCCATCTTACTTACTAAGTCCCATGGCTCTAAATAAGCCCTACCTTCCAGGACCGCCCAATGGCCCTTTAATGGAGCCTTTACGTCCCGAAATAGTGGGTTTTTGTTTGGGGTATGTGAGGGGGTATTGTTGGGGGTCTAGGTAGTAGTAGTAGAGTAGGTGACCTTTCACCGTATTGCGGTAATTACTACAATCCCTATATTTTGTTCCAAAGGGTACTCGACGAGTAGGCTGCCTGGCGCAACCAAGGTACTGCACAAAAAGCTAGATGTACAATGTTTTAGGGTCATATCCCCTTTTTGCGCAGGCAACCCCCAAATCGCACACTTTAAATCCTATAAACCGTGAACCCCTGAACCCTGAACCGTAAACTCTGATCCTCATAATCCCTAAACCCTAAATCCCTACAGCTCATGCGGAGAAAAAGGCCCAACCCCCTTAAAAAGAGAAATAACCCCTACAGCCCTACGGTTGATGATATGAATGCTGCATGACCCAGAATAAGGAATATACCATAATTCCCATAGTTTAGGGTCATTAAGCTAATGCAGGATTTATATCATCAGCCCAAACCATAAAAATCCTTACTTGGAGGATCATGGGACTTCGTAAGTAAGGTTATAAGTACCTTAATTGAGGTTATAAGTATAGTACCTTGCTTATAACCCTTGTTACTAAGTCCCATGATCCTTTAAGTAACCATATTTTCCGGGGGCCCAGGCCCTGACCAACTGCCGAATGCGGGTGACCGTTTTGCAGGCTCTCGAGCTTCCCAGACCCCCGGGAGGATCTAGAAAGTAGATCCCCTAATTTGGGGGCCCTATACAACTAAGGGTGCTGTAGAAACCCTAAACCTTTAATTTAGGGCCTTATAATACTAAGGATGCTTTATAGGAACCCCCCTTTAAGGGATCTACGTTTCGGATCCCCTCCCTAAGAACTAACCCTAAACCCTAAAACCCTATAGATCCCTTCAAGGGACCCTTAAAGGAACCCCTAAAGGAACCCCCATCAAGGGCTCTACTTTCTGGATCCCCCAAAGGGGCTCTCGAGCTTCGGATGTTGGCCGATCCAGGGTGTTTCGGGATGCATGGAAGGGCGGGGGTTTGGGGGAGGGAGGAGGGGGAAGAGGGGAGGTTTTGGGGTTTCGGTTTGGGGCTTAGGTTTTTTTTGGTGGAAATGTGGAATTCACAATAGAGAGTGTTCATAACAATTAGGGATCCTATGATTTAGGGCTCTACATTAGGCATGATACTGCTCGTGTCCGTCGTCGGGAGCATCAGCAGCAGCATAAATCCTCATTTTCACAAGCAGAACTCCTAAACCATGAAGCCTGAGCTGTCATACATAAACTTGCACTAGATTTAAGGCCAAGATCGTCATCAAGAGCATGTAGCAGGGTGGCAGGGTTCAGGACCCCTTCTGGCTGCCATTCTGAACCCTAACTTACACCACCCGAGCCCCAACTACCGCAAGAAGCCTGAAACCTAAACCCTCCTGTCCCCAAAACCCTAAACCCCTAAACCCTAAACCCCTAAACCCTAAACCCTGAAACCTCACAGCGTTCACTTCATAGCGCACCAATCTTTCGCCTTTTACTAAAGGTTGCCGTGAATGGGACGCATCAATGTGACTCACGAAGCCGGCCCCTCGCAACCCGCCGAGGTGGACTAAGGATATCGACACAGGCGAACACTTTAGTCTTGACGAGTTGAAGGCGGCACTCCAGAGAGGGAGACGCAACAAGGCGGTGGGGGAAGACTTGGTATCCTTCGAACTCATCAATGCCCTTTGCGAGGACACAGACACGGAGGCCGCATTCCTTGAGTGGATGGAACGCTTGCGCTGCGGAGAGGAGCTACCCCCGGAATGGCTCAGAACCCTTGTAACACTGCTGCCCAAAACAGAGCAACCCAAGGGACCGGGAGACCTACGCCCGATCAGTGTGGGCGCAGCTGCCTCCAAGATCTTCGGCACGATGCTATTACTGCGGACACGCCGCCACATTGCACCCATAGGACCTGCACAATGTGCACACAATGGGCGCCAGACATGCGACTACTTATTCTCTGCGGTGAAAACATTTGCCTTGGACACTGAATGGCACCTGGGCCTTAGCTGGTGCAAGCTAGACATCCGCAAGGCGTTCGACACTTTGGCGAGAGACAAAACCCTGGGCATCCTCCGAGATAGGCTACCGCCTCACATGTTTCTCGAGTACAAATGCTGGGAACGCCTGTTCTATGAGGGCGTCGCCGTCCTCAAGACCCCATGGGGCCAAGCTGAGATACCTCAGGGGAGAGGCATACGCCAAGGAGCAGTGGAAAGCCCGTTCTTGTTCGCTATCGCTATCGAAACAGCCCTCTACGATGCGATGAACAACAAAGAATGGCCCTCTGAAGTCCCCAGTGCCCCAAACCTGCCCCTCGCAGAGCTACTCTTCATGGACGACACGATCCTCACGGCTGGCACGAGAGACCACCTCCTCAAGAAGTACAATATCCTACGTGATGAACTAGCCACCTGGGGGCTACACGTCAACCCGGAGAAGACCAGCTACTACCACTCGCCCTACTCCACAACCCCGGGGCCGATCAAGCTAGACGACAAGACGATCGCGCCGAGTGAGAACCTCACGGTCTTCGGTATCCCCCTCAGTGTGCCGTTCAAACCAACCAGTATCATGGATACTGCCATGTCTAAAGCGTCCAAGAAGTTCTACGCTAACAAGCACATCTTCCTTGCTGAGGCACCCCTCAAAAGCAAACTCAAGATGTTCAGGTCAATAGTTGGCGGAAGCTTGCTCTGGTACAGTTCGGCAGTCTCTCCGAATCCGCACGCAATGAGCAGCATCAACACCTTACAACTGGAGCTGATTGCGAAGATGGCAGGTTTCCGTAGGAAAACCCAAGAGACCTGGCTAGACTGGAGACAACGCTCACTGCGATCAGCTAGAAGCCTCTTGCATAGCCACGGTGTAGAAAGATGGTCGACAACATGGCTCCAGCGATTCTGGTCGTACAAAGGCCACATAGCTAGAGGGATGAACCGAACCCACCCGCCCGCTAGTTCCTACATGGACTCATACCGTACTCTCAACTGGTGGAGAGAACAACAAAGACGACCTGATGGCATCACCCACCAGGGAAGCTTCTACGCTTACCATACCAAGGAGGAAGAAGCACTCAACAAAGCATGCGCTTCGCAGGACTGGCGGCAGACAGCTCAGGACCCCATAGCCTGGAAACAGTTCGAATCCAGCTGGGTGTCCAACATGGACATCCGCTGGGCCTCAGGTAGACAACTAGCCCTTACTGTGTAACGATGTACAGCCCGTTCCCATCTGTGACACCGCTTCGCTCAGGTCGCTGAGGTGACGCCTATGGCTGAGTAACGACGTTGAACGAAAGTAGGTTGCCTTAACCCATTCCCACGCGCCTAACCATTGAAACACCCTATGGACCCTCCTCGAATTGCGCACAACTTTCGCAGCCCTTGTCAACCAGAGGTAGAACTCGCAGGCCGTTTGTAAGCCCTGTATACATAATCTCGCCATGCAGCAACTCGTGACGATTCTGCTGTATGCCATCCTGACTGCCGGACAGCACTTGCCCAGGACCACTGCTCGCCAGGAGGAGCAAGAATACTTCCCGCCCCGGCATCAATTCGAACCAGAACGAGAAGGAAGTGCCCCAACATGGCCATCGACCACGAGGGAGACCATCCGAGGACTACTGGCACATCGGCCGCAAGAACGGAGTGCACCTCACCACCGAGACCCTGCCGAACATGAGGTACAAGATTCTGGCCTCCATCGACGCGCGAGGAACAATCAGAACAACGGGCCCACCACGCCTGCACAGTTGGACAACGCAGACGGCGCCGCCGCACCACCAAGCGGCCTAGACTCCAACCAAGCAGTTACCGAGATGACAACCCCGCCCAGACGCCACGACCACTACGAGACCGAGACATCCCGTGGACTACCAGGACCTCGGCCGGAAGAACGGAGTGCACATCCTCATCGACACTCTGCTGCACGGGACGTACATGATTCGGGACCCCGTCGAGACCAAGGGAACTCAAAAACGCGGGCCTTGCACCTCATCCTAGCTGCGATGACCAAGAGCAACAAGGCCGACTCCACCCCAACAGGAACGGAGATCCAACTACTGCCCGTACCTCAGCCGCGAGACCAAGCTGCTCGAGACGCAAGGGGCTCTCAGAACAGAGGGCCGGCTACACATGCGCAGCTGGACAACACAGACAACGTCAACGCACCGGCAAGCGGCCTGGTCCCCAACCCAGCAGTGAACGAGACGAACATCCTGCCCAGACGCCACGACTACTACGAGGCCGAGACATCCCTTGGACTACCAGTACCTCGGCCGGAAGAACGGAGTGCACCTCTTCGTCAACACCCTGCTGCACGGGGCGTACACGATTCGGGACCCCGTCGAGACCAAGGGAAATCTAGTGACTGGGACTCATGGCCCACCCCAGACTTGATGACCGAGAATGCCAAGGCCGACTCCATCCCAGCAGGATCTCTTCAAACTGGCAACAAAGGGCAGAAAGCCGTGCTCCCGCGAGCCAACAATGACCCAGCAGCGCTGCAGCAGCCCACCGGCAAGTCAGCCACGCCCTCGGACTGCGGACCGCCAAGTGAGCGGTGCGGACCACACCGCGACCCGCGACTACCTGTACCTCGACTGCAAGATCAAGCCCCTGAACACCTACGAGGCCCTGCCCAAGAAGAAAACCACGACCCAGAACTACGTGAAGGCCAGGACGACACCTCCAGTTTCATCGGCTGGCAAGTCCCTTTCATACTGGGAGTGGTCGCATCGTGGGATGAACCTTTTCTACCACATGACGCACCATCCTGGTTCTGGACCCACCTGGATAGGGGGGTTGACTTACTACAACGAGGACTACCTGTACGCACCCTCATGGACCTCTTCCAGCAAGCTTGCCGACAGTTTGAGGCAGAGCCCGATGGCCAACAGTTCATGGAAGACACCGAGCTCATCCGCAACCACTACCTCCACAGATGGTGGCTACATGAGCGGAGAGTGCAAGCACAGGGCAACCCCCGCCGCGGACCGCCGGTCACAATGGAGGAGGCCCAAACGCTAGCAAACAAGGTGGCCTTCCTGATCAACCGAGCGTGGTACCAAGAACTACACCTACTTCGTCGAGGTGAACCTATGCGACCATGTGGCTGCCTCGACATGACGGACGCCGAGACCTCGGACAGCGACAACCAAGACGATGCCCACGACCAACGAGACCGCTCGCGCTCCCCAACACCTATGAGAGCCACGTCCTCCACCGCCCTGGAGCCACCCAGCCGAAACCACCCGCAGATCGTCTTGGATGACTCCGACACATCCATCGACACAGAGGCTGACTTCGCCTCCCTCATGTCCGGCAAGGCCAAGGATGTACCGGTCCACAAGAGATCCCCTACCAGACTCTGGCGGGAACTTCCGCCGGACCGGAAAACCTCCAGCGTTCGCACATTGCGGCCCCCATGGAAGAAGGGCAACAATCCTCCACTACAAGCACGACCGCCGCCTACGCCCCCCACGAGAAAACCAACTCCCAAGCAGCGACCGGCCAGTGCACGATGCTCCGCCGAAGTGCCGGCACCAAAAACTCCGGAAGCGGAGCAGGCAGAAGGCGAAGCAGCGACCGCTGAGATGCAGGCCGAGGACACAGAGATGACCAAGGACGATATGATGGCAGTCTGGCAGGCCCTCTTCGACATGCAGCCATCCGACTCCCTCAGCCCCAGTTCGAGCCCTCTTCTACCAGCACACATCGCTGACAACGTGGTCGAGACCCTGGTGGATTACCCTGAACACCACCACAACGCCATGGCCGACGCCCTTCCCGAGTTCATGGCACGCCTACAACTGGATGCAGCTGCCGCGCTGCAGCGAGCCAGGAGCCTGCGAGGACGCCTTCAGACCGAGGAAGGCACGGTGCCCTCACAGCCGTCAGCACCATCTGACAGACCTGCACCAGCCTACGAAGAGGAAGAAGAAGAAGAAGAATCGATCTACATGCAGACGAACGTCCAGGAGATCACGGCCCCAACCAAGGAGGACCCGCGGGCTACCAAGAAGCCCATCCTCCAAATGCTCCAGGACGCGTTCAACAAGCTACCGGAAGACGATACTACGAGCCGGGCGTTGCAACTCATGAACAGACTCCAGGAGCACGACGGCCCGCTCCAAGTTGACAGACAAGCTCTCGAGGCTTTGTTGGTCAGCGTGTCGGGAGATGTACCCCCCGCAGCCACCGGAGAAGCCATCATCGTTGAACATGCATGGGTGGCCACATGGTGGGGAAGACTGGTGGGAAACCGCAACGCCACGCTCCAAGACATCGACAAGAACATCGAGGACTGGGACCGCGAAATCTCGGCAGTGGACATGATTCGACAGGCCGACGAGGACGAGAAGGCCCAGGAGGAAGCTCGCTACCAAGCATACCTCCAGTACCTGGAAGAAGCCCGGCAAGACCATACGGACCGCCTCAAGACCCCGAACGAGGACCATGACGTGATGGCGGCAGCAGCAGGGTTGAGTTACGAACCAACAAAGACCCGTCTCTGCGTTGGTCTCTGCTGGGACGACGGTACGTCGTCGCGAGCATGGGAGTGGGAGCTGGACAGGGGAGCGACATTGCAACTGCACATCAAGATGGAGAAGAAGGATTATCCTGGAGGCTGGATGAAGAACGGCAAAAGACTCCCTGAGGACCAAGTGCCAGCGTGTCTCAGGGAGACACAACCGAAGGCGAAATGTCGCCCGACACCGAAGCCTCTTCCACAGCTGGACTTGAACAGGCCTGCCACAAGGGAGCTCTTCTCCAGATGGCAAGCAGGGAAGGTCAGCGACACGACAGTCGTGCAGGTGGGGTCGCCTACCATGTTGAAATTCTTCAGGGAGATGACAGATATACCACGGGACGTCCTTGAAGCACTCGACGAAAGAGACACGATGGATGTCTCCAGACCACGCGACCCAGGGGACATGCCGGCGAGTGCGAGCCACATGCCACCGACCTTGCCCGTGCCAGAGAGTGAAATCGAAACGATCCCAGTGGACCAGGCGGAGACCGGGGAGAACCAGCTGAACGAGGGCAACATGATCCACGGCGAGATGGAGCAGGCCAACGCAGAGGCCGACCACCCGGACGATGACAGCGACATCCAGTCGAACCCGGACCCGTACTTCAACGGCAGAAAGTACTATGAGAAATACGGCCATGATGGACACGACGACTACGGTGACAGTGAGTGAGGGGCGAGTGAAGGCTACACAAGTGAGGCACGGGCAAGTGAGGACGTGACTTAACCATGCTGTTTGAGTGTTTACTTAAGCTGCGGACGTTGCTTGCCCAGAACCGCTGCGTAGTACTCACATGTTCACAGTCGTTAAACTCTACACAAGTGCTTGCAGTGGTGAGTGCTCAGCCCGGTGCGATGTGCCCGCACGCCCGTGGAAATAGCAGCATCTGGGAGCGCCAATTCAGGCGATCCGTGTTGGGGCCTCAGTGGGGTGCTACTTCAGGGTTTAACTCTAATTTGCCGAATTGGCGTTCAAACCGAGGCCCCAACAACCTGGCTCATCCTGGTAAGGAATTCTAGCTGTACTGCAGTTGGAAAAGAGCCCACAAAAAAAAAAAAAAAACCCTGAAACCTTAGACCCTAAACTCTAAACCTTAAGCCCTTAACCCTAAACCCTCATCTGTCCGAGCCTTGTCCCTCAGAACGGCCTGAAGCGACTCCGACAGCAGCAGGCTGGCCATGTTCTTGTCAGGGCCTGGCTGCTTGGCTTAGGGGTACTTAGAAATAATTTTTAATTTTTGGTTATTATAATCCCTAAGAAACAGCTAAAATTATAATTTTTGCTAGGGTTCTAAGTTCGGTATAGTTGGAGGATCATAGGACCTTACTTGGAGGGTCGGGGGACTTAGTAACTGGTTATTTAAGGGACTTATAAGTACCATAAGCCCAATTAGGGTCCCTTTTGGGGTACTTATAAGTCTACTTACTACCTACTTACTAAGTCCCCCGACCCTCCAAGTAGGACCTTAGGACTCAGAAACTAGGGTTATATGGGTGGCTGTCAAAACTAAGATCCCTTTGTGGGTACCCTAAACATTAGGCGCCGTCTTATAATACGGTTGATGATATGAATCCTGCATGAGCCATAATAAGGAATATACCGTAAATCCCATAGTTTTAGGGTCATTAAGGTAATGCAGGATTTGTATCATCAACCGGGGACCCGAAAGAGGACCCTAATTTTGACAACCACCCATATGTGAAGTAACTATACTTGTAGCTGCTTATAACCCCAATCAAGGAGCTTATAACCTTACTTTCTAAGCCCCATGATCCTCTACATACCCCCCAAACCCATATATAGAACCCTTAATAGTAACCCTTATGGATCCCTTAAAGGAGCCCATTAAAGGAAGCTTACTTACTAAGCCCCCATGATCCTCTAAGTGTTCTTATCAGGGCCTGACTTGTGGTCTGAAAGACAATCCCCCTCAAGAGGTTTACCAGAAACCCCCGGGCCCCCTTCACCTAAGCCTTCGATCCTACCTGCTAAGCACAAAACCCAAACTTAGGTGTACGTGCTACTTCCTGGGCTTTTGGGATTCTAGGATGGTCCCTCGCGCCGATTGCTTGCGTACATGAAGCCACTGCTGCGAATCCTGTAGGGGCCTTAACAATTAGAATAGGGCTTTGGGGAATGATCTACTATAACTATAACTAGAACAGGGAACCACCAAAATCAAAACCCTATTCTCATAATTAAGACCCCGTTAAGATAGTGATGGCACGTGGGTCGGCGGAAACCAGGGTGGAAATTTGCTTATGTGTCTGCTTAGCCCTGAATTGAGGCTTGGCCTCGAGGCTGGCCCCAAGCTCTTTTGGCGCCGAGGGTCAGCCTGCACGTTGGAGGATCCAGTCGATCGCGTTGCACATTGCTATATGTGCGAGTACTTAAAGGATCATGGGACGTAGCAAGTTTAAGTAAGATTGTGAGTACTTTAATTGGGGTTATATGTACCTTAATTGGGGTTATGAATTTGGGAGTTTCCGAAAATAGGGGACCCTAATATTGTACCCTACATAGTAGGATCCTGATTATAAGGACCCCAAAATAAGGTACCCCTATTTTCGGAAACTCCCATATGCGCGAGACGGGAACGGTGTTTGGCACGCGTAGTACGACAACGGACCCAAGCTTTCCCACTGCCTCAGTGGCCTCTTTGAAGGCTGTGTCGAGCAGAAAACACCGGAAGACATTGTCAAGCTCAGGTCATCGTTGGCAAGGCAACAAGTCGGGCTCCGCCACATGCCCGACCTGCTAGTAGCATACCGAGCGCTTGTAGACGCACTGGCGTCCGGCTTTGTTCTTCCAGAACCCTCCGACAACGGCGATGTGCAGGTGAACCTGGAGCCCCCCTCCCCACTTCAAAGGCCTTAGAATGCCAGCTGGAAGTACCCCGTTTGCTTTAGCCAGGCGTCGGATTTAGCGCTCCTCTTCCCATGGGTAGCTAGGTGCCCTTAGCACACTGTCGCAAGTTGAAAGAAGTTGTTTGTCGCACTGACTCTAGCAACATCCGAAACAAACACCCTACTACACCGCAAACTCTAAACCCTAGACCCTATAAACCTTACACCCTGGACCCTAAACCCAGGAAACCCTGAGCCCTACACCCTCCTACAAAAACCCAAATCCCTAGACCCTATAGGCCCTATAAACCTCACACCCTAAACCCCAATCCCAGAGACTCCAATATCCCTTTTGTTTTAAGGAAAATACCGTACATCATAATGGGATCCCTACTACGATTTAAGGAATATTCCTTAAATTAGGGGGATATTGGAGTCTCTGGGAGCCCATCCCCTCAAAGGCCACTGAAGCCTCGGGCAGGTGAGCCTCCGAGCTGTCATGAGCAGCGTCCAGGCGCGCACGCGGTCGCGAAGCGAGCCGCCTGCTGCCGAGGCGGAGGGCCTTTGTGGGATCCTTTAAAGGTTTCCTTCAAGGCTTCCTTTTGGGGATCCCTTCAAGGCTTCCTTTATGGGATCCTCTAAACCCTTATAAGGGTCCATGTACCCAAGTAGTATATACTTGGGCCTTAAAGTACTCCCTCTCTGGGTACATTGGGCCCAAAGTATATACTATTTGGGTACATGGACCCTTAGGGAAAGGTTTCCTTTGAGGAGTCCTTGGTAGGCTTCCTTTAAGGGATCCTTCAAGGGATCCATTTAAGGGATCCTTTATGGGTTTTGGGTTTGAGACGGTTTAGGCCTTCTTTATGGCATCTATAGGAGTCTAATCTAATGTGTGGCTCATGTAAAGGATCCTTTATGGGATGAGGGTTTAGGATGGTTTAGGCTTAAAAAGGCCTAAACCATCCTAAACCCTAATCCCATTTTATATGGATCGATCAGGGCTCTATGAGGGTTTGGGGACAGGATTTCGGGGGCGTTTCATGGGATCTGCAGAGGCTTGTCAGGGGTTTGGGCCGGGTTTACCTTTAATGGTTTTGGGCTCACCTGAACCCCAGAAAACCTACATGATTATGAATTCCTCATGTAAGTCTTTACCAAGGTGGCGGTGTCAGGTTCAGGGTTGATCCATGTAGGGCCCATCAAGGCTCTATAAAGGAATCTACAGGGAATCGGCAAGGGATCTATTACGGTTCTACAGCGCTTCTAGTTGTAGTTGATAGGGTTGAGGGCCGTCAAAGTGATCTAGAAAGGCATCTACCAGGACCCTCCTTGTACCCTCAAATAGGGGTATATGGTCCCGAATAAGGGGCATTTAGGGTCTAATAGAGGGTAGATGGAGGGTCTAGGTACAAGGGATCTACAGGGCTTCTATTGGGCTCTTAGGTAGGGGTTGGGAGCTTAAGGTTGGAGGGATTCGAGCTTCAGGGTTATATGCAAGGGGAATAGGAGGGACCCTTAATGGGGACCTTTTGGGCTATATAATGGGTATATAATAGCCGGTTTAGGGTTTAGGGTTTAGGGAATAATAGCTATATTCAGGGTATATATACCTAGGGTTCCTTATTAAGGATCCCTCCTTTTACCCTTCGAGTTTACGGGCGTTGCGTTTAAGGTTCGGTTCGCGGCGCCACGGTTTCAATTAGGTGCTCCAGCCGTTACACGGCCACACCCGTAGACCCAGAACCCTACCTAAACCCTGAGTTGTTGGTCCCTTTGGTTGTTACCAAAGGTGTCTGATGCCCTCAACTGCTGTCGGTTTTGCCAGGTCATTGGCGACTCTATAAGCCAGAAAGTTGTAACCTCGGTATCGAAAAGCCTAAGCCAGTGGATGAAGAAGTATCACATACCCCTCATATGTCTTCCATCTCCATGAACCAACTTCGAGGTCCAATAACTACTGCCTTAACCTACCAAACCCTACTTTTTTGTAGGTTCTGATTATAAACCCTAATATGGAATTTATAGGGACCCTACTTTTTTGTAGGTTTTGGTAGGTTAAGGTGACACTATTTCCTGGACCCTACTCTGACACGACCAAGACCGGTTTGAAATTGTGAAGGCTCCGGACGCGCGCAAACATCCCACAATTGACTCTGAGCTTCGCAACAACACTCGTGAAGAAGCTATGGTGTTGAGGACTTATGTAAGGAAATCGCTGTACGGAACGCAAAAACTTAAAAAGGGTAGGTGCTTTAGGGTCCAGGAAGAGCCAAAAGGGTACAACCCAATGATTTCCCGAAACACTGAAGAAGGTGCCTGAGCTACCCTGCCATGCTCCTTTGCTGCAGCTCCGGTGGAGGAACTTTGGCTTCTGATGCGTTTGGATGCGTTGTAAACGCGGGAAGCTAGGAATGCGTAGGGGTCTTATTCGGTCTTATAGGGGAAACCTTAAATGCTGAACCGTGTACCCTTTGTAGAGATAGATATGGGCTTCTTTATCGTAGGGTTTTATGCCAGAACTCTTCTACTTGTGTTTTCGAGAGTTTTCCAAGAAAGTCGAGGCTTGAGGGCATCAGCCTAAAGGGTCCAGGTATCTCCTTAGGAGTGTCCGGAATCTCCTAGGGAGAGTCCTTGGGTCTCTTTGGGGTCTCAGAATTAGGGAGGATTGTTGAAGGCTTTTCCCGGATCCCCGGGAGGATCTTGAAAGTAGATCCCCTAATTTGGGGCCCTATACTGCTAAGGGTAGTTTATAGGAACCCCCATTAAGGGATCTACTTTTTGGATTTTTGCGGGGGTCCGAGTTCAGAGCCCTGAGGTAGTCTA